AATTGGGAAACAGAAGAGATATCCTGCAAAGAAAACAATGAATCGTCTTCATCCTTTTCATCTAGTAATTCTATTAACTCCAGGAATAAGAGGTTCAGTTTACCGAAGTTGACACGAAAGTTGTGCTTCTCACTACAGCATGCAAGATGCTTTGTGTTTCTGTACAAGTATTGATGCACTAAGGAAGAATTAGGTAGCGAACATCATCCTCAAGAATGGAGACTTTTTATTGACTCACCTAAAGTCAGTCTGAAAGCTGTACTTTTGCACATTGTTGCTCATGCTGTGAACATGAAAGAAACTTATCAAAGCATGCAGATTATACATTCTTAAATTAAATTTTCAATGAGTAAATAAAGTTATGAAAGAAAAAGTTATTTTCACAATATATATAAGAGTATTTTGAACAAACATACCATAACTTGAAAACTACAGGTGGTCAGTAATTTTGAACATGATTTTTAGAATCAACATTGTCAAATTACTCAGAAACAGATGCATTTTTTCTAGTGACAGAGAATTTTTTTTATTGTTGCCCAGTGTAATTTGATTATAGTGATGTATATCAACAGGTAGTGGGACTCAATCTCAGTCTTTATTTATTTATTTTTGCTGTGGTATCTCTACTTGTTTGGCTACATTCACATTGTGTCTTTCTCTGAACTTGTCATGTCCCAGGTTTTATGACTTTCTACTTTCAAGTGCATTCTATTTCTAGAGCTTGTTAACTTCTAACAACAGATTGGACCCTGTACTATTCAGTATTTCATTCATTGTGTCAAAAATTTGAATATCATATGCTTGGTGGTTTCCATTTCTTTATCCAGCTTCTCCAGCAGTGGATGCTTTGAGCCAGTCATAAAATAATATTTTTCTCTATAGGTACCCTGTTATTTGTCTACTTCCTTGGGTATTGACCAAGACTTGTTGTCCTATTGTCAAATTCTTATTGGCTCATGCTGGCCTGCCCTACCATGGTTTCCATTATGCTGTTGTCTATCTTAGAAGGATCCTATTATGTTACATCTTCCACAATGATGTTTGCTGTCTACAACTTTGTATAGCTGGCTGTTATGTGGTTCTTTGTTAGAGAAGCCAGATTTTCTTCTTGGATATCTCAAATGTTTTCACATTATTGCAGACTTTCCACCCTGGCAATTTACCAGTCTTTTTATTTAATTTCTGTACTGCATGTTAGTGTATAGAAGACATATTAATACTAGAAATAAATGACATTATAATACCAAAATTATTTCTATTTAACTAAACACTCAATTTTTTGCTTTACAGCTTCTTCATGAGCATTCACTAAAACAAAAATCAAAACTGACAGTGCAAAGCTTTGGTGTTATAAGGTCATTTATTTTTAGTATTAATTTACCAATCTTGTTGGTCTATCTTTTGGAATTGGTGCCTTTGGAATTCTGAATCTTGTTTTTTGCCAACTTTCCAACAGGTTATCTCTTTTTGAGGTACTCATTTCATGATTGTGGCTTGTTTGCTTCTTTTTGTGCAGGCTACAGAGCTACCATCTCTGCCACTTTCAGATGCCACAGAAGTCATCTGCCTCTCTTATACCCACTTTTCAGGGAGGAGACAATCACACATTTTTTGCCATTGATGCTTATTTTCTTTTAATATGTAAGCTCTGTTCTTATGTCTTGATAGAGCTTTCCTACCAAAGACTGCAGGAGAGAGAGTTACTGCTATTTTTCTTCTATTGTCTTACTAACCTGACTGTCACAGACTCTTGTTCTGAATGACATTCTCTATGTTCTGTCAAGACTATTCTGTGCTATCTTGCATGAACTGCATCTTTTGGAGGGGATCAACATAGGTTGTTTTTACTTCATGTTGATTCTCACTTCTTGGATCTTGCTTCATCAACATTAATAATTTTGTTTATCATAATGTTCTTGAACATCTTCAGCATGAATTCCAGGATATATATTATTGAAATCAACATCTGGTTGTGTCTTTGGCTACCCAGTCTTAGTACTCTTTAGAAGAAATACAGTAAATTAAATACAGTTTCCTCCTTTATACAGAGACTATTTATATGGATTTATCCAGTTGGGACTCTCAAATGTTATTAAACCTCTTTGTTTGTCCTAGATGCAATTCTATCCTCTGCCCCGCAGCTCAGTGAGAGGATCAACATCCTCTGGAAATGGACAAAGGCTGCAACCTGGTGGCTAATGATGCCTTGACAGGTATCTTTCCTACCTCTGCATGCTCATCCTTGTGTGGTATTGGAAATATAGGAAGACTGTTTTCACAAGATGTCTCAGCCCTAACAAGGATAGGGATAATTTATGTTTTTATTCATATTACTATATTTTGTTGTATGTTTTCATTGCACTGTCCTTTACATTGTTGAACCCATTCTTGGGACTACTTAGTCTTTATTCAGTCTCCCTGAATGGCCAATAATTTAATCTTTTACTTGACTCACAACCTCTTTAGCATGCCCACTCTTAATATTTTGATTGGGCTGCTCCTTTGAGAATCTTTCACTGCAAGAGCAGGACATAGTATTCCTTCTACCTTTTAATACCACCATCTGTGTCCCATTGTTGGTTCCACAGGTACAACACCATTTCCACTGTCACTCACTCTTTTACCTGAATTAATGAGTGTAAATGGCAAATACGTACTCTTCTGAGAAGAATGACATGTATCTGGGTGTCCTTTAGATCTAGTCCTTTTATAAGGTTGGTCTGCTCCACTATTCTTCTTTAATATTTTTTTTCTGGATTATACTCCAACTTTGCTTGGTTACTTATATATTGAAGTCTAGATTATCATCTTCCTGTATAAGTTTTTCTAAATCTTTTTCATTATGAGTATTCTGGCTTATAGTGTTTGAGAGGTAATATTGCTTGATATGAAGTTTACATTTACAATTAAAATGAACTTCAAACAGGTACTAACCTGCCCACAACTGGATTTTCATCATGACTGCAGCTTTCAATAAAATTTAAATGTGTTCACTGATAACCTGTTAAGAAAATACAATTTTTTTTTGCTGCTGCTGAAGTGAGCTGTTAATTAAATTAATTTCTTTATGAATTGAATTTTGGATGTTTGAATGTAGGTTTCTGCACATGGATATTTTGTTGATGTAATTATTGTTTGTTTGGATTTTATTACACGAGTTTTTACCATATTTTTCTGGTCAGTTTTTGAAGTTTTAGCACGTTGATGCAGTTATTTTTTCAACATTTTTAGCAGAAAATGAAAAATCTAGAATTTTTTTTTTACAGCAGGTTTTCGGTTTGTCAAATGAAGATAGATGTCACATTTATCTGCCAGTAATTCTTACTCTATCTTGACTAGAACTAGATAATTATTAATAATTATGAGGATATTTTTGCACATCTTAACTTAGCTAAGATTCACTTATTCCCTCTCTACAGTCCATTATTGTAACAGCAGTTTTGTGTGCATATAATTTATTTTTTTTTATAGCTTACCTGTCTGGTTTCTTTTTAATGTTTTTTTTTCTTATCACCATCATCAAGTGCATGGTTCCCAAATTTTCTCACCACAAGGCCTCCCAAGAACATTTCACATCTTGATTGAGGCCTCCCCACCCAATGAATCTATAGATACTGAATACCTTAATAGTGTTGTGTATTTGCTATGGTCCTAATGAAATTTTACTGCAGTTCCGAGTTTTGGAACCACTGATTGAATGCATTTAATTACTAGGTGCTCTAGTGAGTTGTGTTATACACTTTATTTTTGAAACTCTCATCTGTGCAGGTTTTTACAGCTTATATTTCTGAGTGACAGTTAGTTACCACTCTCATGTTGTAATTCTTTCTGCTTAAGTTGGGATCTATGAAATAGTTTCAGTCGTCCAACTGGGAAAGCCCCAGTAACTAAGAGTAAATTAGTTTTTAACTTTTAGAGATTTTTGTCTTTAATTTAAAGATATATTTTACCCTCTATTGGCATACAGGTGTGATAATTTGATGGAATCAACTGAATTTGAGTGGGTAGTGACTCGTTGGCATTACAAATGTATTTTAATAGCGCTTGTTTTGTTTATAGTTTTTATATGTGTATTTATATTTCTTAACCCTTTCAAAGACTTAGGCCATGTAGTTGCTACCAGATTATAGAAGTTTTTATAAGGCAGTGACAGCTATATTTCCATCCCCTAAAAATGATGTATAAATAAAAGAAAGTATAAAATAATCAAATTATGTTTTTTCTGATTGAATACACCCAAAACCACCTAGTTCAATTTTTAATACTCTTTTGGCTTTTCTATCCATTAAAGGGTTGATTTTCAGATCAGTGTTCTTGATTCTCCTACCACTTCAAAAATTAGAGATGTCTGTTGTTATTTTGTGTGTTATAGGAGTGTTAGTTTATGTGTTTTCTGGGTTTTTAAAAGTTATTTCATAGCCTCTTTGTACTTGGTTGTATTCTTTGACTCTTAACATCTTTGGAAAGATTAAGTTCCTTTTTATGGTTTATATATACAGAAGTTCTTGTTTCTTTGACTTCACATCACTTTCAGTATCACTATTAAACTTGAATTAATATGTGCTAATTCTGTTGTTCGTGTTTTGTGGCTGGTTTTGACAGCTTGCATAAACTAGTTTTCTGTTAATTTCTCCAGAGAAACAGGCTATGGTTTTTGTTTCTGAACTGTAGATGCATAATAAATGTTACTTCTAAGTTGTCGTGGAGTTCAGAGGCAAAACAACCTGTATTTATTGTCATATAAAGTCTTTATAAACTTACCTACTTTCCCCCCATTCCCACATGATTATTTTACCCATGGAAGCAATATAGTAATTTGACAACTAAGAATTGTTCAGAAAAGATAGAAGATTGTCACTTTTGACAATTCTCTAGTTATTAAGTATATTTAGAAATATGGTAATTCAAAATGTATGAAATTTGCAAGATGCTGTTTGTAATGACTTAAGCAAAAATAACAAAAAATCAAATATTTCAAATTTTCCTTTTTGACTATTTAGGAATGAGTTAGAACGGCAGTTCCTTGAAATGTTACAGTTCAATATCAATGTTCCTGCCAGTGTTTATGCAAAGTACTACTTTGATTTGCGTACACTGGCTGACCAGAATGATCTTACTTTTCCATCTGAACAACTCAGTAAAGAAAGAGCTCAGAAACTTGAAGTAAGTACATTAAAGTAGTTATATGTAGGTTGTTATTTATAGGGCCTATAAAATAGATTTGAAAATACTTAACAATATTGAGCTTAATTGTTATTTTAGTTATAATATTTATCCTGATCATTAGATGTTAGCTAGTAGTTGGAAATTTGTATCTGATAAATATACCTAAGGCTTCAAAGGGGGCTATGAATTTTATCAAACTACACTCATGCAAGTATCTGTAAGATTGGCATTATAACAGGGTGTTACACTATTTATTAGGAGTAAGTTTTTGTGCCAAATTGATTACAAGAACATACATAATGCCATAATTTATATACCAAGATTTGAAAGCCATGTCCTGAATTATCAGCTACAACCTCAGGTTGAGGTGTGCCACCACCCAGTTATTATGATGTATCAAATGATTTTCTGTGTAACACAGTTGTATAACTTCTTTAACATCCCCTTTTTTGTTCTTTCATTTTCCATATGTAGTGGTTTTTGAGTAACACAGTTCTAAAAATTCACAAAGTACAAAATATTCCCATGTTATGTAATTTAGTAAGCAATTAAGGCTAATATCATAGGTTATTCTAGTTACATTTTATTAAACAGTGATAAAGCTGTATTGTTACTTGTTGCAAGATACAAAGTGCAGATACTCAAAATGCTCAAAAAATAAAGGTACACAGAAGTTATCCTTTCAGTTAATATTGTTTAAATTTATTTTTTTGATCACCAAGTGTATGAACTCTCAGTGTTCATTCAGTTTTAATGATAATATTTATACTCTAAGAATACTTTATATTAGCTTATTTTTTACTGAGACTTTGAATATTACATAATTAACTATGTTTAATTCTATTGGGAAGTAACAATTTTACTGGCTAAAACTACTCTTGCAGTATTTGGCGAGGTAATGATTGAACTGTAAGAAAACTTATTCTTCAGTAATCATTGTTATCATGTTATAAAATACTTAGTTTGAGGTGTAGCATTTGTGTTTGTACAAAATGTTTTAAATTTATGTTTTGTAGGCAATGTCTCGAATATGTGAGGACAAACTGGCTGAACTCCACAAGAATGGCTTCAAAAAGTGGTCGAGCTTAGACAACATCACCATCTTAAGAAAGACCAATGCTATTCTTTCCTGACAGCCTTGGTTGTTTTGTAAAATTCTTCATGATGTACAGCTTTGTTGTAAAAACATAATCAGTTTCTCTCACATGATGCTAGCCTGCACTTTTTAGTAAAAGAGAGAAAAGAGATTGGGATGTTGAATAACCTGGTTGAAATGTATTCCCAAAATATTTTTAAAACTACCCCAGTACAAGTTGTTTAAAGAGGTCTGTTAATGAGTCTTAAGGAGTTTTTATATAATTGATTTGAACGGCATTAAGAAAAAAACAACAGTTCTGGTGACATTTCCACCTAGAGTGATAGTGTAGTGTGAAAGTGGTGTTTTTTGAGTTATAAGATGTGCATTTACAAAAGAGGAACATTTTATGGTTGATCAGACTTCCAGCTGTACATAGGTTTTAGTGAGAACTGAGAAAGATTACACCCACTGTTCTAGCAGCATGTAACTGATATTTTCATCTTTTTATTTTTCAACATTTAGTGCTGAATTATTATGACTCATCATGATATCTGAAATTATATTAACTTTAATAATATGATTTAAGTGATGGTGACTTAGGGTTTATTATACTGTGTATGATGATAGAAAAATTTTGGCTTGGATATGAATTTAAAATGCATCACTAAACAGCAACTGAAGATTTTGAGCTGTTTAATGAAAATTATTGTGTGGTATAATCTTGTTTAATATTTTAACAATAATGGTAGCTAGTAAACAGGTACTTTCTATGTCACTGATATTTAAAAATGCCATGAAACTAGTGACAAGTATAGACTACAGTAACATTAATAATTACCAAACATACCTACATGTTTTATATTGCTTTAAGGTAACTAAAAAACAAAGCATGCTTAGTATCTAAAAGATCTGTCATCCTTCACAAAAGATTTTATACATATTGACTACTAGTTTAAAAAGGTATGTATTTACCTGCGAGTTGCCTTTGATTTTTGTAACACATTATTATTATATCATTTATTTTTTAGTGCAGTTACAGAATGAAACTGATTGTTTAAAAATGGTACTTGCTTTGTGATTCTGTTTGTAATTACAGAATATTCTTAGTTAAACTGAAGTTAAACATCTTTGTAAATAAGAAGCAATGTACAGGTCCTTTTGTTTGGGAGAGCTTCATTAAAAGTGTTTAACACTTATGAGTTGGCACAGTTTTTGTTTTTTAATGTACTAAGTGCTTTTCAATTATATACACATTATGCTATGCTCAGAACTGTTAGTTAACCCATTGTGATAACATGCTTTTTTTAATAAAGTTAGTTACTTCATCAGAGAAGTTAATTTAAACTGACAGAAAAATGAACTTGAATTTTGATAGTTTATTAGGAAACACAAACAATAAAGTGAATAGTCAAGTGACAGTTTTAATATGTATTAGTAACTTTCATTACATAGGATATCATCTTAGTCTTCCTATGCATAAAAACATTATTTTCCTATGAGCTGTCATATTTTAGGAATCAAAATGTTTTTATTTCCAATTCAACAGTTTTTTTTGTGAAACTAAGAGAATCCAGTACAAAGTACATGGGTAAATTTTGTTTACTGATAAAAACGGACATTGTTGATTTGATTTTTATTATTTGAGTTCAAGTAGATAAGATTCTTGAATGCCATACAAAAGCCTTGTTTTTTTGGTTTTTTTCTAAGTTTCTGTTAAATGCCAATATTAATCTGCTTGGATTATCTCAAAAAATGTGGCAAATGTATATAAAATATTTTCTTTCTTTTTTTTTGTGGGCTGAGATAAAGTGTCTGTTGTGTATTAAAGCAAGAGTTAACTTTTATTTTGGGAGTAGACTGAGGATAGGGTCAGATTTTAATGCCCTAAAGCTAACAATGTTCACATGCATAGACAAAATCTAAAAGTACTTTTAATAAAGGTTTATTTTTTGTATATTTATTTGTGTTTGCTAGACACAAAACTTAATGTAGATATGTAGGGGTGGGGCACATCTTCAGGTCTCTATTACAAACTCTAACAAAATATAGTTAAATAGCCGAAAGTTATGCTTAAAGCAGTTTACTGCATTAAAGGACAATTCTTTGGTTACTACTAGTATTTTGTCTTTATTAACTTTTTTTTTTCATCTGTATATACTTAAACTTACTGGTATTAATGCATGCATTTGCAAATGTTAAATTCTGTAGAAGAGAAACAGTGTAAACATTTATTTAAAAAAAATTGTAGGAAAATATTATGTATATCCATTTTCAACGTGTATGACCCTTATGGTTTAGAAATGTATGAAAAATTGCTTCAGAATTAGGGTTAAGATGTTAATGTATCTGTGAATAACCATACAGTGTCCTTTAACTATTATTTGCTCCAAGTGCTGGCTTTTTTTTTTATATCAGTATACTAGTTTTTCATTTTGACCAACAAGTAAAATAAAAATTTCTTCAGCAAAAATATATGATTTGTCTGATTTTTTTTTTTGTGAAGGGCTAAATATTTGTTAACAATTCTCCTAATTATTTTTTTTAGAAAACAAACTGTTGAAACAATCCTTTTGTGTTACATACCAAGTTATTCTCACCTGTTATTTATGAACATGTATTCAGTTACATTTATTAAAACAAGCTTTTGAATGCAATGCCAGAGAAGTCCTGGGGATTATTGCAGGAATGACTTGGAATAAGTTTAAATGTTGACAACAATATAACAGTTTAATAAAACTAATAATTTTAATCTTATTTTTATTTACCAGCTATAAATGGTTTTTAAATAAAAAGAGTGTGTAATAGCACACAGATTTATTTTTTGCCAACCTAGGTGCTACCCACAGTAGACATGATGTCTTGTAAATGATTGAAACACGTATAGCGTTTCAATTGATCGTTTTGTAGTAAACCAGCCACATGTTGAGCTTTCGTCACTGGAGTAAATTTCATATACGCTACGCCGAGAAAGACAACCGGACAAGTATATGTCAGAGAATGTGCTAGCACTCTGCGTAGGGATGGCAATACAAAAGTCATCTGGATTTTCTTCTCTACAGGTCATCAGAAGTTAGATATGAAGAGCTACCTGACATAGTCGCTCTATCTCCAGTGTACCTCCCGCTTTTCAGCAATCCAAAGCGTCCCAAAGTCAAAAACCGGCTAATAGCCAAAGCCGAATTTCTCTTTTTCGTTCATCATCATCTTTCTCCAATAGGCCTAGCGCCTACCAAGTTCTAACAGTAATTATAATGTTATTCATCATTTGATAGAGCAAAACAGTCTTCACGATCTTTGAATACCTACTTTTTTATTATTCTATGCAAAATTGAAAAAAAAAATCAATTCTAATGTAAACTATGTTATTACCCCTTGAAGTTAGCTTTCGTACAGAAATATGGTATTCCTTTAAAAAGCTTAGGTACGGGGTGAAACAGGACCTACAAGCCAATAATAGATGGGCATTAGATGACTGTAACATGTATAGTACTCAATGCTTTGTACATGATACAATCGGTGTCTTTAGGGAGCCATCCCATATCTTATGTATGAAGTAGAAGGAGTAAAAAAAAAAAAAAAAAAGTACAATACACATACAGGTGATCGGAAGCTATATATAAAGAGCTACCTGGTATAGTCGCTTTATCTACGGTGTGTATACCACTTTTCAGCTATCCAGAGCGTCCCCAAGTAGAAAAACGTCGAATACTCAAAACCGTTCATCTTCGTCTTTCTTCAACAAGCCTAGCGCCTACCTTGTTCTAGCAGTAACTATAATTCTTTCATCATTTCATAGCGATCTTTGACTACCTATTTTATTATTATTATATGTAAAATTTATAAAGCTTTAAAACACACACACTATAACCTAGTAATCAGCGTCTGCCATCTTATAAAAAAATAAACAAGTATTAGGAAAAAAGTTATCGCTAAGTAAAAAGCTATGTAGGGCTGGCTACTGACCGTGAAAAAAAGGAATCAAACAAGATAGGATGGAAATGGACATATCACTTAATCCGGCTAATGATCACATAGCAGACTGAGCCGTCTCGACTTTACACGGAGAATAAAATCCCTACATTACTGACAAAACAAATAGAACCAGAATTTTCAACCGTAAAATGTTATTCTATTGTAAAATAGTCATAAAAGTAATATTCTAAAGTTAACTATAGGAAACGTAGAATAATGAAAGCTGAGATTCTATTCAAACACCAAGTTTTCGATAGACAATCGGAATTGCACAAGCAGCAAATTTTTGCCATTTTTTCGCACAGAAATACTTGATGTTGTAACACAAGAATACGATCAAGGCACACGTTAGTGTGTTGTGCGGCCAAAACAACGTGCAGGACACGCTGTGTGTTCTTAGCAGAAGTGATAATTTAGTGATTTTACACATTTTGTAGCTCGAACTGTGGTAGTTCAAACTATCACATATTTTCAGTGGATGTACTCTACCAGACCGTTACTTTACATACCAAGTTTCAAAGCAATCCATTAAGAAGTACACGAGATGTAAAATCTCCAATTTTGATTGGATTTCTTCTTTTTTTTTCGCACCGAGAGTATAGAAACTATATTTAAAGAAAGAAAACATACTTAACTTTTATGGATATTTTTTCAAAGTTGCTAAACTGATATATCTTTACATCCTACAATTAGGTATCAACTTTGGTGTCCCCCAGTGGCAGAGCACAGATAGCCCATTGTGTAGCTTTGTGCTTAATTACAAACAAACAACTTTGGTTTAAATATAAGCCACAAATGCAAAGTTGCTCAACAAAAACCGCTCAATTTTGACCAACATTTTTGCGCACGCTTACGCAAAAAGTCACGTGAGCTATCGGTCTAAATTTTTACCACAGCTTCTCCTGACAGTAAAATTGGTTCGTGCTGGGAAACAACTTAATTTCAATAGTTAAACTGAAACAAAAAATACAATTCATTTGGCATCGTTTTTCAAATTCTGGACAGATGAAACATTTGTGTGATCTCTGATTAGAGTGAATTGGTCAGTGTGAGATGCTCTATGTATTATGACATTCCGTCTAATATTGAATGCTTGTTTGAGTCGGCATGGCATAGGCAGATGGTTAGAGCGCTTGACTCGCAATCTGAGGATCGAGAGTTCGAATCCCCGTCACTGAACACGCTCGTCCTTTCAGCCGTGGGGGCGTTATAAAGTGATGGTTAATCCCACTATTCGTTGGTAAAAGAGTTGGCGGTGGGTGGTGATAACTAGCTGTCTTCCCTCTAGTCTTTCACTATCAAATTAGGGACGGCGCTAGCAGATATTCAAACCAAACGATTGTTTAAGTTGAATATATATATATATATTCTTGTTTTTGACTTTACGTTATTGTGATATTTATAAAATGCCTTTGTAGGTTTCATTCTTTTACTTTATACAAGAGCAAATAAAAGTTAAAAGAAAGAAAATGTATCGAGTGCCAGCGAACTGGTTTGAGTTTGTTGGGTAGAGCTCCATCAGAAGTTTTGTAGCTGATAATCGAGTTTTTTCAGCTCGTAACTACTAAGGATAATGTCTACCGCCAGGCTAGTTCTCGCGACCTTTCGGTAAAGACCCTGTCAACGACTTTGTCCGGTAGATTCGAACTTTTGACTTGTAACTAACCTCCCCTGCCTGACATTCTTACCGTTACTTGATCTTGTTTTGGAAAATTACAATAATTTATTTATTTTTCATTAAAAATGAAATTCTAAAATACACAATAGTTATTTTATCCTATAAAAAGTGCTACTCTAGCGTCGCCATAAATAGTGGCGTAACTACAAACGTTTCCTCCCCCAGTATAAAAAGTAATTGGTCCCTCTACATGAATTTCCGTATGATTTTAGTTACAATTCTGGCTGATTCGAGCACAGATAGCCCTTTGCGTAGCTTTGCGGGTAACAACAAAACAACAATAATTTTTCTTAATTAAAGTTTTTAAAATAATTTATGAAGGACTCGCGAAAGTTCCAATAAATAGTTGAACTACATGCTTATGTATTTTTTTTTCTGTTTATTAACTTAATAACAGCCTGATAAACAAAACCGATAGTTATGCGTGAAGTAGTTATTTTAGTTGCTGATAAGTTTAAAAAGTTCTCGAAACTACTTAGTAGTCCTGGAATTTTGTCAACTCTAACTGAAATGTGGAAATCACGTGACGTGTTTCTTAATTTGAAAGCAAGTCTGTTTATTATTAAGCGCAGATCTACACAATGGGCTATATGCGCTGTGCCCACCACGGGTATCGAAACCCGATTTTGCGCATTATACGCTTTCAGAATTACCACTGGGAGGGGGCATTTAAAGAAACACTGTCATGTTTTGAAGAAAATGTTCTTAAAATGAATCACGTAAAAAATCTGGAAATATTCTGCGAACTAGCGTGGGTTTCATCACAAACAGTTAATTTAAGTTTGTTTTTAGTAAAGCACAAAGCTATACAACGGGCTATATGTGCTGTGCTCACTACGGGTATCAAAATCTGGTTTTTAGTATATAAACCTACTGTTACCGCTATGCCACTGGGGAGTGGACATTTAATTAAGAATTTCATTGCTTCGCCAACTGTTAGCATTTAACATTGCAACGTTAATTCACCAATTAAAAACTATAATTATAATATTATTTATATTTTATAAAATGTGGGTTATACTTGTGCACTATGATACGAAAAATCATTCTAG